AACACTTTTACACAGAGGTTTTGAGAGGCTGAATATATTATCACATTTTATTAAACCAGAATTACAGTCTGTTTAGAAGGCCTGTTTTGAAGTGCTCCCTCCACACCTGCAGTTCTCCTGCAGCTTCACAGGTGCTAATGGGGGGAAGCACAAAATCAAGAAACCCCCTGTAGGTGCCTTCACCTCAGTGCCTTCTCAGGAGTGTAGTGAAACATCACTAGCAGTGGGATTTTCTTAAAACACTTTTTTGGAGAAATTTCTCAGTGGCTGCAGGTGCACGGACAGTTTGTGAACACTGAATGCCTTAACGTTAAGCATTGCAACAAAATCTTGAGATACTGTCTCCTCAGTACTCTGACTTCACCAGCCTTCTGAGAGGAAAATAATTTGAGTATACCTCCTGCTACAAAAATAGCCTGTGCACCTCCCTTTATCAAAGACCACAGCAGACACCATGACTCAGTTTGAGCTGTTGAAAAGGAAACCCATAGAATCATAGAATGTTTTAGGCTGGAAGGGACTTCTAGAGGTCATCTGGTCCAACGTCCCTACAAAAGTAGGGACATCTCTACCTAGGTCAGGTCGCCCAGGGCCCTATCAAGCCTGACCCTGAATGACTCCAGGGTTGGGGCCTCCACTATCTCTCTAGGCAGTCCATTCCAATGATCTATTACTCTTATATTAAAGATTTTTTTTCTAATATCTAGTCTAAATCTATCCTTTCCTAATTTAAAACCATTACTCCTTGGCCTATCATTACAAACCCTTTTGAATAGACCTTCCTCTGCCTTCATAGAGGCCCCTTCAGGCATTGGAAGGTCACTATAAGGTCTTCCCAGAGCCTTCTCTTCTCCAGGCTGAACAGCCCCAACTCCCTCAGCCTGTCTTCATGTATGTACATAACAAGATGTACATAAACTGTGCCAACTACTCTCTTCAGATGCTACAAATTGTACCTAGTGCTGTTTTCTCACAGCTGGCAAACTCTCTTTTTGAGCCACAGTGACCAATCTCTGCCATCTTCATGTCTGACTTAAATTCATCAGCAATAAATGCCAGTCCTGCTTTTCCTCTGCTCATGAGCTAGGGGACCTCATTATTTTCAGAATATTCATTAGACTCTCTACTTACTCTAAAAATAGTAGGGTTTTTTTTGCCAACGAACGACTGGTGGGCAGCAGCTTCATGCATTTATCCATTCCACAATACAAGATCTGATAACTCCATGTACTCAGGCACTGTGCCTTCAAGGGACCGCTGCCATTAATACAGACCCCACCTTACAGTACTTGACTTTGTCAAAGCACTGGTTCATGTTCACTACAGCAATTAACTAATTCATCTTCAGGGCAACCCTGTGAGCTAGGTAAAACTGATATAATTAACACATGAGTAAAATGAGATTTAGGAGTTAAGTCAGTTGCCTGGGCAGAGGCCTTCATGTTCTAGTGGATTAGACATCTGTCTCTCCAACCAAAGAAGTTGAATCTAATCCTTTTTCTGACATTGATTTACTGCGTGACCTTACAGAAAGTCAATTAACTTCTCTGCCTCAGCTGTCCTAGAGATAATGATGTTTACCTACCCGGTGACACATGGGTGTTTGAAAACTGTACTAAATGATACTTTTAATGTACTCTTAAGGCCTATCAGTGGAAGACGTGAAACATTAAAGCCTCCTAGCTTAAATGTCATTGCTGTCTTATTGAAGTCCTCCTCCCCACACCAGAAATAGCTTGGGGACAAGGAGGAATTTCTTAGGCCTAAGATGCTGCTAGCAGAACTGTGTCTGGCATCAGGAATTTTCATCAGATCCTGTTGGAGTAGCAAATTTATTTGAACTACAGGTCAGCACTAGAATTACAACAGAAAGTTTACTTTAAACTCAGCCGTGAAAGAAACCAGCACCCTTCCCACGCTACTGTGAGGTAATGAACAGACTGCCTTGGCCATCCTCACTGAGCACCCCTGATTCAAAGGGAGCACAGCCTGTTTGTAGAGACCTGAGAACCTGCACTCGTGCACCATCCCCAGTTCCCCTGTACATGTAAATGAGATTTCTGCAGGATAACTTCTACAGTTGGCCTTATCACTAGAAGGGATGCAAGCCCAGAGGGAGAGTACCCACGTGCATGCACAACCTGGAGCAGAACAACTTGTTCTTGGCATCTCTGACACCAGACTGTTGTACTTAAGAGGAGGACAACTAAAACCTTCTCCATTCAGTTCATTGGAAGCCATCCTTGAACTTCTGTCCTCTCACCAGCGCAGCTTTTCATGACATGCCATGAGGCATTAAGAAGTAAAACTTCTGTAGCTGGCATTTGAAGTGCACGGCAGGTCTCAGGTCTCTAGGCTGGTGTTGTGCACATGTAAATTTAAATGTCTTTTCCCATATTCAACCTTGCTTTTAGTTATTTCTACAAAATATTCTGTTGCTACATGTAATGCTGCCTAGGCCCCCATGGTCTCCCACAGTTCTAATATAGCAAGAAACCAGTCAGACAGAACATAAGAAATCAACACTTACTTTTATTTCTGTGAGCAAGTTTAACATTGCTTCTCTTTAATACTGAAGGGAATGTCAGGGCTTTTTCCCTTTTGCTTGCTCAGTTATAGCAAATGTGGTGACTGCTCATGCAGCCAGAAACATAATAACCTGCTCCTGCCTCTGATATGGCACCGACTACTTCTCGGCATCCTTTCTGCTGCCAACCCACCCCTGTGCCGCTACTTGGTTTCTCTGCCCTGCTTTCTCCCCTCTGACTAGTCAGCACTTGTTTCCTCTCCACCCTCCCAGCTCTATTGATAATGTGTTTAATGTTTATTTTGATGCTATTCCTTGAGGCTTTTCAAAATCCTTCTTGGAAAGAAAACCATACATAAGAATCTCTCTCCTTTGGGGAGAGACAGGGAGAACAGTTAAAGCAGAAAGGGGACGTGCTTGTGTATAATACATGCTGTAGGCTTTGTCTTGCTGCAAGCCTGAAGATGACTTAATGCAAACCCATACTGCTGTAAATAAATGTTGTATTCTCCTAAAATACATCTGGGCTAATTCAGTAAACCCTGACTTATTGGCTGATACTTGTGCAAACATCTGCATATTAAATCCCAATAAACTACTAATAAGCTGTCAGATGAGTAACACAGATATTTAGGCTGAGAGATTGTGTAGTCCAGGTCCCTCTTTATTTACCTCCTGCAGAGGCTACTGGTGTGGACTAGCACAGACAAAATGGCTCCCTGTCTATACACTGTGGAAGAACTTAAAGGTGACTTGTGGTAGCTTATAAATATACTCTACAATTGTATACTGAGCATGGCAAGAAGCATGAACTAAAATCATATTCATTCCTTACATGCCTAAAATATTAATCTTCAGTGCTGTTTTTTTTTTTTCCCCCAGGTTAAAATTACCTATGTGCTAATAGGTGATTAATATGTGACACATTTGGAACAAGCAGAACATATAATTGCATTCAGACAGATTGCTGGGTTTTTTTCCAGTGCTGTTGAAGACTGTACTCTTTCTAAGTGTTTGTAGCTTATCTAGTAATGTTATCTCCTGCACTTGCATGTTTGAGTTGTTTGGTTTTTTTTTATTTTATTATATGGAGAGTTAGAAGCTGTACCTTACTGAACCTAATCTACCAATGCATTGAAGCATCCATGTAACTTGGAGGTTGAGCTTCAGATCTCTGATGCATCAGGATCTTTGTTTAAATATGTATCTTTCATCTTTGCATTACATATTTTGCAAGATTTCATAAAACTACCCAACATCCCAGTTCTGTTGTCTGTACTAGTGACCAACAGGTGTGACATCAAGTTTACCTATCAATACACTAAAGAATATGTAATACTAGGAAGGAAAATATGTTTTTCCTTTTAATTTTAATTCTTTCCAGTAGCTTTTATTTAACCCTATATACAAATAATGACAGTTTCCTGTGAGATGTTTTCCCATTTTTAAGTTTGGAATGAAATTAATAGTTTGCATATAATTTTTTTAATTCAGATTTATATTGGCTTTGTTGTAAATTAACATTGATGAAGTAAATGGACACACTTGAATCTTCAGTAGCCTTGTAAAACACCGGTGGTCTAACTGAGAAACTTGGTCTATCTGGATTTGAAGAGGGAAGGGGAATCAGTTCTTAAGTTTGGTAATTTGGCAATCATTACTGTAAACAGTGTTTTTACTTCTTAGGATAATCACTAGAAGACAATGCATAGCAAGTATTAAACCAGGGCAGATACAGATGATAAAGACAAAGCTTAATCTTGCTAGGATTAGTGACTCTAAAATGATATGAGTGAAAAAAAACATTGGAAAATGCTGAAGTTAGGCAGCTTCAGGGACTATCAAAATGCCTTGCCTGGTAATTTTCAGAAGTCTTTAGAGACACTGATTGCACCTGGAACCTCTGATTTGATTACTGAAATAAAAAAATGTCTACTGTAGTAGCCTCATCTGTACTTTAATTAAGGGCTTTGTATTTAAATATAACCATCTGATCCCCTGAGGTTATTTTTAAAGCAAGGTTCTGTCAAGGCAGCAGCACGGTGGATTAGAGGCTAGGAATTGAGGAAAAATCATTGTTCAGCATAGAGTTTACACTAATGTGTGCATATATACAAATACATGTGTATGCAACATCATGTAACAAGATACAGGACTGGATTTATTAAAGCCAAATGGAAAGATATTTCCTCTTTTAATATTCTAGATCTCTTAATATATGCACTGTAGATATTGCACTGCAGGCTGATTCACGTAAATCCCACAACAGCACATCAATCTGATCGGTCCAATGAAAGCTCAATTTTTCTACAAATGTAAACCCAAGTTATCAACTCAGCTGTCTGCATCTACCACTCCACCTAACAGTGGCTGTTACAGTGGGGTGAAGAGTGAATCACTCACACAAGACACGTCTGAATGTGAAAAGCCACATAACAATAGGTTTTTTCACTTATTTCAGAAAGGAACTTACAGCTTCCAAATTTTAGTGGGCAAGCATGTGCATCCATGGGGAAATCTTCAAGCTGCATGGGACATTCAGCAGAGATGGTCAATCTGTAGGGGAGTAAAAAGAAAACATCATTTTTTTTCCCCCCACACTTGCCCTTTAGGCATCTCACTGCAAGACCTGAGTGCTGAGACAAGCAAGCTTTTTCTGAAGGCTCCTCGCTCGTGCTGAAATCACAGCAACTCCCTGCTAGACTAAATGTGAGACAAGGCAGGTGGACCACTGTGTGTGCATGCTGTAGGCCTTACCCACTAACACTGAGACACGTGAAGCTATTTTATTTACATAACCTGCTCCAATAAGATCATTCTTTCTTATCAGTACGTGAAGGAGCTCCTGGGAGAGAGCTCCTGCCACACACCCTATACTCACCTTCTTTCTCTAGATACTGCAACTGGACTAGGAATTTCACTCCTGAGTACAGCACCATTACAGACATAAAGAAGCACTGACTTCATATACAGGTGTAACTACAGAAACACATAAAGATTTATAAATGAAAGTATATAATATAAACATTCATAACTATATATAAAGTTATATATTTAAAGTCAATGACATATATATATTACTTTATCTACCACTACAGGTAGTTTCTCTGGAAATCATATGGTATTGGGGCAGTCCATCTCAACTCAATGTACTGTGAATTACCTGGGCACCCTGTCAGGAAAAAACCAGCAGGGTCATTTTCCCCAGTGTATTGCCTGGGGAAGCAATTCTATCCCAGACTGCCCTGCCACTGCGTGGAAATTTCTGAGCTATAGTGGGCATAGGAGTAAGGAAAGAAAAACTATTAGGAATAAACAGACTTATCCCATGGATGTTCTGTAGGACTGACAGATCAAGCTGAACGCAAAGAAAAGTCCAAGGCAAATTTCTGAACAGTGCAGTATCAGTTACATTGATATCAAATATATCAGGAGAGCAAAAGCTTACTTTTCTAGGTGTATGCAGCACAATGAGAATCTGTTTTGATTAAACCATTTTGATATTCACATAATACAGATGATTTGCTCATTTCCCATTTGGAATACCCTTATGGCTTTTTTTTGGTTTATGCTGCTATTCTGCCTCAGAGGCAACAGACCAGAGACAATCAAAGCCTCACAGATTGTCTAGTGCTGGAGTGATGCAGGGCTCTGCTGGAGAGCAGCCTGGTTCCTTATCAAACTGCTGCCTGGAGTGCAAAAATCTCTGAAGAAGTCCACAACACCCCACTACCACAATGCAAAAGTACCCTTTCCTATCACAACAGCTGCATGTAGCCACCCTCTCCAGCTACATATACTCACTGCTTCATGGTAGCACACCAGGGTGAGTATTGTTGCTAAAACAACTTCTATCCAAAGGGATCGTAAAGGGCAACAACCTGCCCGTGTACAGATGGCACAGCCTTCAGCCAGTCCAATTCAATACTAGACAATGATATCTTGACGGGGCACTCCACCTGCATGGACAATAAACTGGGGGAAATGGCTCCACTCTCTGCCAATGCACAGAAATTCTGGAGCTTTACCAATAGCTGGAAATGGCAAAATAAGCACAGAGAAATGCAATGTTGCTATTTCTAGTTAATGCTAGAAATGTTGGCTAGAGATTGTATCATGAGTATGAGCTGGGAAACGGAGGGAAAAAGCAGAGATAATTTGGTAAGAACAGATAGGAAGTCTACAATATAGAAATTACTGAGGCTTCAGATACCTGCCCTTAAGCAAAAATGTCTTTAAACTTAATTTTTGTAGAAGAAATTTTAGAATCACTAAAATATGGAGTTCTCTGCAGTAGAGCCTGCCCTTGGGCACCAAAGCCAGCAAAGCCATCATCACTGAGAGTGCTACATGGATTAATTTAACAAGCTGGTTCTAGTACACCCTGCCCAGAATCTGTATCCTTTTCACAAAAATCACTCTTAACAGGTACTTGAAAGCAAGGCTGCCATCCCTCCAATGCACCCATTCTGTATTAAGTACTGCAAATTTAATGTTCTTGATAAATTCAGAAACCTTGCTCCATGCCATAAGAAAGCTGGCACGTTTTACTGCAAAGCTGGCATGTTTTACTGCAGTCCATCTCCTGCCTTTTTCTCTACCAACAGCTCAAGTGTGTTGTTTCAAAGGCTCCAGCTTGACAACATTTTAATACACACATCTGTCATCTGCAAACATCAAAAGAGGGGATCCCTATATCCATCTTACCAGGACAGTAGCTGTGGAATCAGGAAGTGGAGGAAGATTTAATGCAGAATCCTGAATAAGACCTTCTGTTTCATCTGATTGTCCTATGAATTGTACCCTGCTGTCTGCATTTCTGGAAATAACCCTTGTATGTAAAGAAGGCTGTAGATGTTTCTCATCTGTCTGTGGAAGAGAAGTGAAGATGAGATGCATAGAGACTGTGACCTAGAGGAATTTAGTTAGGAAGTCCCTCCAGAAATTGTTTTTGCCTGCCTTAAATGAAAGGGTAGCACATAAAGCTGGAGAGCACATGGTCACCACTACCTGTCTCAGAAGCCACAAGAAACCTGGAGGTACCAGAACTCCTCCTGTGACCCCTCTGAATTCCTCATCCAGGAGAAGGCAGCCTATCTCTTAAAAGGATCATGCCTGGTGCAGTCTTCTGGGTCTAGCCCAGGGGTAGAGAGAACTGGGTTTGACAGCTGCAGGTGTGCTTGGGTACATCTGCCTTTCCTGTCATTGGCATGAGTTCTTCAGGTGAAGAAATTATTTTTGCTCATTATCAATGTCAATGATATCTGCATGCTTCTTTCCTTCTCCTCTGCCCCCATCCTAGGGCCACTCCTAGTGTGGCTATCCTGAACAAATTAACTAGCTATCCCTATTTGTTACATGCTAGTCTTAAAAAGGATGTAGTTGAGCCTCTTAGGTGATCTCAGAATGTTCAGTGAACACTCTCCTAGCTAGCTCTTACAAAGTGTGCATTTCTGAGCCTCAAGAAGTGCCTTGTAATGGGCAACTATTCGACTCCTGGTTCAAAGAGGCTGGATTTTCTATTGCATGGGAAAAAAAAAAGAGCAGAACAGCAGCCATCTCTGACACTCTGGGGGCTGGAAGCAGGGGTGACTGCATGCAGATTTGCTCCTAGGTGCAGAGTATGAGAGTATATATTCCTATCATAGCTCCAGGAGTCACACAAAATTGATATTTGGGTCTGCTCCTTCTATTACCACCTGGGGTGACATTTGCACACTTCAGCTTTTAACATTGTGTTAAAGCTTAGGTACCCTTTGTACGCCCAAGTTTACACAGCTGATTATAACAAAATGATTCCCAGTTTGCATTTATTGAAAGAAAAGAAAGGAGGCCTTGGTGTGCATATACGAAACAGCCTTTGCCTAATCCTTTTAACGTGGTCACTCCAAACGAACTCGCTGGGCTCACCACAGCACAGTTAGCTGAGCTGCTGACAGTCTCCAAACCAGGATTTTTCTGTCACAGCAAAAGCACAGCTCAAACTGCAGTTCTTTCCAACAGAAGCATTTAAAAGCTTCCCTCCTCCACCATCATTCTGTCTTAATAAAAGCCCTATGGGATTAGTTTCACTCAAACAGAGTCTTTGACAAGATTATAAGTGGCGGCTAAAGGTCCTTGACAATGGGAGGATGAAATACTGATTTTATGAATTTAACAGTAAAATTCTCCCTGACTTCAGTGGGGTCGGTATTCACCCAAAACAGGTAAGGAACCCTAGTTATGGCTGCTGATTCATTATTAACAACAAAATTTCACTTTCACAGTGCTCCATAAATAAAATACACTGTTATCCAAATGTTAATCAACCAACAAAACACTACAGCATCTGAGTTAGGTCTACAAATGATTTAATTTATCATCCATAATTGTACATGGAAGTTTCATCAAACCTTCATTACGTATAGCCTTCTCTTCAGGAATATAAAGTGATTACTGATGTTCTGTCTCAAGAAAATAAGTGAATACCCATCTAAGAAAAGCACAACAATCCAAGCAGCAAGATTTCTTTATGCCAGAAAAGTCACCTTCAGCCATTTCCACTGGAGAATTAAGTATGACGACACTTTCAAGAGGCTGTTGCTTTTTAACAGGAAGAAGAAGGAGGTATTAAAGCCAAGGATGTGGCAACGAAATAAATGCAGATGTTTGGGAGCTAGACAACCACAGTGCTTCAAGGAGGGAGGGGAGTCCCTCAGCAGAAGTCCTGGAGGCACAAGGCACCCCATCCCTGCAAAGAGCCTGTTTTGGGGCACTGCAGGGACATCCTCACTGTTCCCATGGTTTCCCTCAACACCATGAGCATCTGCTCCTGCTTGTGGGAAAAGACCTGGGAGACTGAGCAAAGGGATCCTCTCTCTGTTACCCTGGATGTGCAGAAAACGCTTTCCAGAGTATTATCTGGAGCTGCCAGGCAGGAGGTGAGGGCAGTCACCTGCCTGGGGAGTCAACAAACAGATGCAGAAACTTGCCTTTTCTTATCCGCTACTAGCTTTAGTATGCAAACAAATTAAAACAGAGAGCTTTAGCAAGAGAGGGGAGCAGAAAGGCAGAGTCACCAGTGGCTTTGGAGAGAATTTACCTCAAGATAAGTGTTGAATAACAAGAGCTACTGATGAAGCAGACACAATGAAAATTTCGAGAGATAAAAAAATCAGAGAGCTATGAAGCTCTTCTGTCTGTTTGCCCTAATGCCCAAACCAGCTCCATCTTCTCAGTCGTTTATTTCTGTGCACTGCTCTTGCCCCTGACTAAAGGGAGCATTTTAATGCTGTGCTTTGGCCCTACCTCTGCTGGCAACCAGGACCCACTGTGGGGCTCAGGCCAGAATGTGAGCAGGAAAGCCAAAGTGCCTCTTCCAGCATGAGGCAAGCCATCACCATTTTCCTGAAAAAAAAAGGCAAAATGTTTGCTTGAGACACGTCTCAAATCCATCTCAACATCTCCCCAAGATGCCAAAAAAATTAAGTGGATCCAGCCTCACTCGAGCTGTACCCCACCTAAAAGGGCTGACTGGCTCCAGGGCCAGGTCAGACCCTTCTCCGGAGCCAGTTCCA